TTGCAAGCCTAAAACACTAAGAACAGAAGAAAACATTCTAGCAGAAGCAGGGCACACGCAGAATTCATTTTTCCACACTACATTTCAGTTTGAGACTATTATACACAGAATTATATTTCTGATGCTGATAGTTTAAAAGTACACAGGTGCAATAAACCCCAAGACATAAGGATTGGATCTGTTCATGTCCAGCTCACACGTTAGTGCCCTGTTCTAGCACTAAGTGCTAAATAGCTAGGCTTAGTAGCAAATAGCTAGGATCAGTGGCTTACATTTGTAAGATTCCAAAAGGCAAGTCCATCCCTACATTCCTTGCGAAGTAAGTCACAGCACCAAGCCCTGGGGGGTGACTGATGAGGACATCTATTTTTCTGAAAGGTCATGTTAGTTTCAGCAAAACCTGCTTTTCTTAGCCCTGGAAAATCTTGCAACATAACAGGACACTGGAAGCCACAGCACGGGGCACTAGCACCTTCCAGGCTTTCTGTCTTACATCTGACAATCTGCAACACCCAGGGAAAGGAGGAAAATCCAAATGTGTGCTTTCAGATGTGTGCTCTGCATACTCCAAATGTCTCCTGAGGAATGTACCTTCTTCTCTGTACCAGTGTTTTCATACTGCGTAATTACAAGTGTATTCGAAGATTAACTAGTGATCATAAGTTTCCTATTTTCAGACTACCTTTTAGGAATGAGAATGACAATTTCAATCTACTTAATATCCCCAAACCCTCATAAGTTGATATAAATAAAAGTGTCATGCTTTACATTTTTGCACAATAGTATGGTATAGTAGGCTAGCATCTTCACACGAAGGTATTTATTTTCGATGATGTCTAGGGGAAAAAACACCCAACTGTGTTGTCTTGAGCCTTTAAAAAAAAGATTTACAAGTTCAAATGTAACAGGCACAATGTGGACACAACAAAGAGCCTGCTCCTCATAGCCTTTTTGTCATTGAATTAGCGTATGCCATAGGTCAAGAACTATTTAAATTATACCGGCATATATTAGCCCTGCCTTTCTTCATGAGAAAGAAGAGCATCTAATAAAGACATGAAATTTCATTAGTGTCTTTCTCCAAGGAATTAATAAAACGTTGTAGTACACACTGATAGACATCAATTATGTACATGGATTTCGTTCTGGTTATGCATCCTTTGAAAGTCAACTGGTCAGGAAGATGTCACTCATCAGAAACGGCAGCCTGGAAAGGCAGGGGCTGGCATGGAACCCAGGTGCCTGCATTTCCGTGCCCTGATTACCATCGATCATTTGGTCACATTAGAACCCAGGAGGGAAGTTTATTTGGTATTATTTGGCTTCTCTTGGATCTTGGCTTTTGTTGTTATGACTATGGTTTTTCCCATTTGTTTATTCTGCTGGTCCATTCAAGCTTCATAGCAATGGCCAAATGGGAACAGAGTGGGAAAACTGTGTCCACCCTAAAAAAACCTGTGTCCATCTCTATCCTCTATGATGCTGCCTTTCATCTCCAGGAGTTTCTCCCTCAGGTGCCCTTCTGGCATTTGCCAGAGCATCTGCCTGTCACTTATATGCAACCACTGAGTTACAGCATGTGTAAAAGCACTTTAGTGCATTGCAAATGCAATTGCTGCCTCTCCCTGAAGCACTGTTGTGAGCGTATCACTTTAAGGTTTTCCCTGGAACTGTGGTGGTATCTTCAATGGGCCATTTCCCGTAATCCATATCCCTGTGAATTTGACACATGAAAGGACTAATTGCTGCTTGGGAATTTGACCTTAGAAGTGAGCATTCTATTGCTAAATCTGCATGGTGTAGAGCAAGTTTTCTCCAAGTAACACCTTGACCTAGGCATGTCCGTTGCTTTCAATTCCTGCCTTACTGTAGTTTCTTACAGTACATGGTATTTTGATATCTAATCTCAGGAGAGATCAGCCCAATCCATTTACAGATTAACATACCTTAATTGTAACAAGTGTGCTAAAGGCATAACTACACTGCACTATCATCTGTAGGTGTTCTTAAGAAACAATGCATCTTGCTCCAGACAAGAATTTGCTTTCTATAAATGGTGATGAATAAACTTTGACATCAGGTCACCACATTTTTGAAAACCATGCTGTGGGCTCAGGTTCTACTAATACCTGGTCTTAAAGCAGTTGTAATAACCATCAGATACTCTCCTAAAAACCTCACCTAAAAAACTCACTATGTAATATCTGTAGAACACCTGACTATGAATGCTCCTAAAATCCATAAGAATGTGTAAACAACATAATGTAGTCTTTTTCAAAGAGAAATTGAGACTAATACAAAACATTGGCATTCTGAACTAATCAAAACATTAGAATTTTTATATAAAATATAAAAGTTGATTTATGAGCAAAGCCTTAAATTTGACATTGAAAGGCACTTCTGTTTATCTTTGAAGGAGATGTAATCCTGTCCAGCTTAAGAGGTGTGTATGAGTCAGTTTCCAACACTGTAACAAATACCTGAGATGAGTCAACTTAAAAGAAGAAGGGTTCATTTTGGCTTATGGTTTCAGAGGTGTGAGTCCATGGTCCCATGCTTTCACCTGTGTTGTACAACAAGCATGGCAGGAGTGCATGGCAAAGGCCTATGGCAGCCGGGAAGTAAAGAGAGAGAGAGCCCAGTGTCAAAGACATATGCCTGTGACACAGGTCCTCACCTCTTGAAGGTCCAATCACCCCCAGTACAGCCATAGGCAGGGCCCCAAGTGTCTAGTACATGGGCCTTTTGGGGACATACTGAGATGCTGCATCCAAGCCCGTGACACTGTGTCCCATGTAGACTGACCTTGGGTTGCAGCAGAGGCTCTAGTGCTGTCATTATCCCATAGCCCAAGTTGGACCCATCAGGGCCTAGAACCAAGAGCATCCATTGCACACCTGGCCCCCTGGGGAACTGGCCCCAGACAAGTCTTTAGGACAGAGATGTGTCACCTACATTTGGTAACACTAGTGCTGCTCTGGGTGGGCACCAGAATCCTTATTCTGTGGCCTACTTACCTTTCAGGGAAGGAACAACAGTTGAACCCTCAGGATATCCTCTGCCATCCTGGATTGCTCCTGCCCACATCACTGACATTTTTATCAATCCTCACAGCCCATCAGCCTAGGCCCCAGAGTCCCTGCTGCCGCTGCTCCTTCTCTGGACCCCAGCCCACCATCAGAGCCCAATTCTGAGTTCCCCTTTGGGGTCCAGTATCCCTCCCCTACCTGAGCAAAGCCCAAGGGAGTGTGCCAGTCCCCAGGGGCCAATGACAGTGTTGCTCAGAGCTACTGCTGCCTCTAGAATTATTTGATACCATCCCATCACAGAGCCTGCAGTTTAAACATCTTTGACTTTTCTACTGAAATGCAAACAGCTTAACATAGCACTGCACCCTCTTGTCAGTCTACCCGTGAGCTCTAGCCCCATCAAACTCCCACAGTTCCCCAAATGTAAAAACCCCAGTACAAAGTCAACCTGGAGTTCTCTTACCTGTCATCTTCAAAAACTGCTTGTAGTGTTCTCTTCTGGAGCACATTTCAGAATCCCAAACAAAATGGCTTCCATAATTTACCAGAGACAAAATGGCTTCCATGATATACCAGGGACTTGGAGACTGTTACCAAATGCAGTTTGTTGCTTTGCTTGGAAATGGTGCTGGTTAAGAGGCTCTGGGGCCATTCTGTCTGGCTCAGTAGTGGCTGGGTATTTATCACCTAGGAACCCTTCAATATTAGTTTCTGCAAGTTCTAAAACTAGGAGTGCAGAGTCTAAAAACACGCACTGATTTCACCAGTAGGACAGCGGGTAATCCCTACATCTTTGAAAAGTCTAAGTGCCCCTACCAGACTCACCGTGGAACTGAGTTAAGGGAGATGTTGGCCTTACAGTTTGAGCTACGGGGGTGGGAGGGTAGTAAATGCACTTGTGTGCTGAGATTGAATTGGGAAAGCTTCCTGACTTCCAAATACTCTACCAAATCTGAGCAGGGATTCTGTAAACCTCAGGCTTGCACAGGGATTTGATCCTGAAGATGGGAAATAACCAGTAAGCTGCAGGAATTCTTTTCTTTCTTTTATTCATAAAGAATTCTGAAGGCGAATATAAGAAAAGGTCCTAAAGACAACAGGGCTGGGGGCTGGGGATTTAGCTCAGCGGCAGAAGCGCCTGCCTGGCAAGCGCAAGGTCGTGAGTTTGGTTCCCGGTACCGGAGAAAAACCAAAAAAAAAAACCAAACAGACAACAGGGCTGAGCAGGGGCTATGTTCCATATCTTGCAGTGGTGGCGAACTCATGTTATTGTGTCTTTCTTTTGTTTTTTTGTTTGTTTGTTTTCTTCCAGCACCAGGAATCGAACTCACAACCTTGCGCTTGCTAGGCAGGCACTGTGCCACTGAGCTAAATCTCCAGCCCCTTATTGTGTCTTTCTTTTAAGAGTTATTTTGACCAAACTAAAACCTCAGCATCAGGTTTAATGGCAGTGTGGGCACTTTGTGATAAATAAGTGGGCTTTGGGTTGTGGTTTGGTACTTGGTCTCTAAAAGGTTTGCCATCAAGGTCCTACAGGGTCAGGGAGGATCAGAAAAGACAAGGAGAAAAATCAGAACCAAGGTGTCTCAAGTAGCCAGAGGTAATCATGGGTGCAGGGGCTGGGGATTTAGCTCAGCGGCAAAAGCACCTGCCTGGCAAGCGCAAGGTCGTGAGTTGGGTTCCCGGTACCGGAGAAAAACCAAAAAAAACAAAACAAAACAATCATGGGTGCATGTCACTTTATCCCGAAGTCTTATTCTCACTCTCCCACACCCTCTGGCAACATCAGGTTCCGTACAGTGGGGTCTGCAGCCCTGAGTCTTATTGAGTCGTTCACTCTGTGAGATCCTAAAATCTAAAGCTGAAGCCAAAGCAAGAGATTCGGACACAAGCACCCCATGCCACGCACGGTCTCCAGCTGAGCACAGCAAATGGGATCCGATTCTTATTTTCACTTTTCTTTTCTTTCAGAAACAGGGAAAATTGACCAGGAGATTCACAAATACAACACACCGGGATTCACAGGCTGCCTCTCCAGGGTCCAGTTCAACCACATCGCCCCACTCAAGGCCGCCCTGAGGCAGACGAACGCCTCTGCCCACGTGCACATCCAGGGCCAGCTGGTGGAGTCCAACTGCGGGGCCTCCCCCCTGACGCTGTCCCCCATGTCGTCTGCCACCGACCCCTGGCATCTAGATCACCTGGATTCAGGTAAGTTCTTCAGCCATCTTAGGCTGATGCCTTTACTTCTTTCAAACTGAACCAAGACATGATGGTACATTTCTGTAATCCTAGCACTCAAGAGACTGAGGCAAGAGGATGGCGAGTTTGAGGCTAGCACGATGAGCTTGAGTCCAGCCTGGACTGCATAGCGAGATCCTGTCTCAAAAAATAAAAAAAAAAATTTTAAATAAATAAAACTTTAAAACAAGCTCATAGTAGAAACCAGAAGCATGATTGGAGGATTATGAAATAGATGGAAGAAAGAACGTGTGAGCCAAGTGTTATTAGGTTGGAGCTTGGCACGTACGAAGCACTCAGAGGTGACAGCTGCTGTTCTTGCTCAGTGCCAGACGTAAAGAAATCAGAGAGCAAGAAAGTAGCCAGGTGTGGGGGCACATGCCTATAAAGCCAGCTACTTGGGAGGCTGAGGCAGAAGCACCAAGTTGGAAGCCAGCCTGGGCAATTTAATAAGACCCTGTCTGAAAATCTAAATTTTAAAAGGGGAGGTAGCTCAGTGCTCCCGGGTTCATTCCGCCCACCGAAAAAGGATGCAGGGGCTGGGGATTTAGCTCAGCGGCACAGCGCCTGCCTGGCAAGCGCAAGATCATGAGTTCGATTCCTGGTACTGGAAGAAAAAAAAAAAAAAAAACAAAACAAAAAACAAGAAAGGATGCAAATCATTAGCTCTTCACGTAAGCTAAGGATGAGATACCTAGATGGAAAACCTGCAGGACAACTTTGGCAATTCAATCAAATCAAATCAACTCGTAGCCAGAGTCCGCAGTTCTCTTATTAGACAAAGAGATTCACCCAGAGCAATACAGTTTTATTCTCCCAGTTTTTAGTCTATTCATACTACAGGCTTCCAAGTCTTTAAGAGGTGCACTGGGACGTACAAACTCGGTGCATGCAGCCCTGCTCCTGCAGGTGATAAGAGACAGGTAATTTGAAAACACAGGGTTCAAGTAAAAGGCTGCAGCTGCTGAGCGCCAGATTAATGCATGAAAATTCAGCGTCTCCACACCCCTGGGTATGCGGAGCTCATTAGGCTGCGTTTCCACCTGAGCTTCACTGAACGGACTGTAGCGACTCAGGTAACCTTTCCAAGCCTCTGCTTCCCCCCATCACGTGAAGAAGAGGAGCGTGAGTCCCGCAGTGACCTCTAAACCCGGTGGGCGCCGAGTCTCCCGGCAACGTGCGATGCTGCTGACCCTGAAGGGAGAGAACCATGCAGGAGGCAGCGCGGTGAGGAGACCTCGGTTCCTACGCCACCCCCGCCTCACGGCGGATTTAGCGCAGGCAGCGCCCATAACGTCCTTCCTCAGCTGCCCTATTTTTGAAAGGAGGATAATAAGACCAAACTTGCCGAGTTCTGTGTGAGATGATGTAGTTTAAACACTTAGCATGGTCATGGACATGGAGCACGTTGCTGTAAAGTTTAGCTCATGGTTATTATTATTATTATATTAGGTACAATTTTCTACAATGCTCCCATACCCAGGAAAATCTTCCAAATCCCCCCTGTATACAGATTTCTAATTTATAACAATTCAGCATGCAAAGATTAGGCTTTTATTTCTTTTTCCAGTACTGGGCATTGAAATCAGGGCCTTTACACTGAAATGTGTCCCCAGCCTTTCTATATTTTATTTTGAGACAGGATCTCATTAAGTTGGTAAGTTGCCCAGGCTGGGCTTGAACTTTCCATTCTCCTGCCTCAGCCTCCCAGAGTGCTAGAACTACAGGTGAGTGCCACCATGCCCTGCAAACGATATGCATTTGATTGCTCTAATCATATCTCAGTCCTGTGCACAGAGTCTATCATTAGAGTGCATCCCCCTCTGCCACCTTGTCCCTGCCAGGGCTGCACGGTAAAGAATTACCCTTTGTCGGAGCAGCCAATCTGCTGGCCGTGCTGACCGACCTCCTTCCTCCTCGAACACAGGCTCCTATAAGGGCCAGGGTCGTTCACAAAGCATCCCCTCCCCTTCCAGGAGCAGCAGGGGGCTGGGGCTTCCTCTTGGGCTGGTTGAAGAAAGGCGAGCACTCCTCCTGCTAAGCGAAGGAAAGGAAGGGAAGAGCAGAACAGACCACAGAGACGGTTTCCCAGATAAATCTTACACGTGTGAATGCGCGCACTGAGAAAGGTCTTTGAAATGCACAGGTTCAGGAGCCGTGGGCTGGGTGGTCCCTGAGCCCAGTGACGCTGCCTGCTTGTAATCCCGGCAGTCCAGGGGCTGAAGCAGGAAGATACAAGTTTTGAGCACAGCGTGGGCAGCTTAATGATTCAGCGAAGCCCTGTCTCACAATACGAGAAAAAGAGCTGAGGATGTTGCTCAGAGCAGGGCCCTGGGTTCAATCCCAATCCCACCAAAAAAAAAAGGAAAAAAGGCCTTAGGCCAATGTGAAATCATATTCAACTAGGACTTAATCAACTGACTGTTTGCCATTAAGATCTGGAGGTGTAATTGTAAGGACCAATTTTAGTTCGTGTGTTTTTCTGCCTTATGAAAGATAGTGTCCTTCTCTTGATTGATTCATGAAACATGTGCATTTTGGAAAATACTTCTGTTTGTGCCCAGGGTTCGAATCAGAACTCTGTACCCCAGACCCAAAGGTGGCCTCTGCTAAAAAAGTGGAGCGCTATTTTCAGAACTTCCTGCCCACTGTGGGCAGGGAGTTCTTATCCAGGGCACGTAATCATCAACCACTTCTCTCACCAGGGAAATCTACTCTTAAAGGACAGGAAACACGTTACAAACTGGGAGGTAGTTAAATAACATGATGCGGTGCCTTTGGGTGAATGGGAACATGAGGGGGTTGGGAGTGAGGGCTGGGAGGGGACGCGGAATGGACAGGGACAGGTGGGAAGTCACTTCATAGCGGCCTGCAGTGGCTCCGAGTCAGGAAGGGAGAACATCTCTACTTTCTCAGATTTGGTGCCTGGACGCCATGGGAGATGATGGTGGTTTAAAAAAAAAAAACAGTGGGTGAGTTTAAGAGAGGAGTGCAGCACTGGGACTGAGACCTTGGTATTTGTTTTTGTTTTTTGGGTTTTTTTTTTGGTACCGGGAATCGAACTCAGGACCTTGCGCTTGCCAGGCAGGTGCTTGTGCTGCTGAGCTATATCCCCAGCCCCAAGACCTTGGTATTTGATTTTAATGTGAGGAGGGGCCTGGAAATGTCATGGTGGCTCCACTGCCCCTCATCTCAGTTCTAGGGGTGGCAGATGTCACTTGAGGACTGGCGATGGTTTTGTGCCCTTGGCGTTGCCAGGAACAGACCTTCCAGGTATAAATAAATCGACAAACACCAGACATAGTACTCCAAAGGGACTTCGGACAGTGCTGGGCTAGAGAGGAGCTGGTATGCTTTAAGGAGTACAGGTGGCTGGATCGTTGCGTGCAAGGTGGAAAGTTAATGTCCACTTCAGGTCACTGCACACCTGCACCGTGGCCTCAGAGAGCAATGGTATTGTTTTGGTTTTTTGTTTTTGGTTTTTCTCTGGTACCGGGAACCGAACTCCCGACCTTGCGCTTGCCAGGCAGGCGCTTTGCCGCTGAGCTAAATCCCCAGCCCCGAGCAATGGTAAAATAACCATGATTCAACGCCAGAGGCTGCCAATTAAACTGAGAAAAGAATAGCAAAACGGGGCGAGGTGACGCACGGCTATAATCCCAGCACTTGAGAGGCGGAGGCAGGAAGATCATCTTGAGTTCAAGGTCAGCCTGGACTACAAAGCAAGACCCTGTCTCAAAAAACCAAACCAAAATAATAATAATAATAATAATAATATGAGGAGGGGGAAAAAACTATTTGTATACATGCAGGCACTTACAAAAGAAACAATTGAAACGGTTACAATGAAAGGCCTGTATATCTAATTTATAGAGGAACGTGGTGGGGGAGAGAAAACCCCTGCAGAAGAACACAGGGGTTTGCAGAACGAAGGAGATACTAGGAGGGTTATGCTATGTCAGGTTTGCTCTTGGTTTTCTGGGAAGAAAACGCAACCCTCAAAGGGGACGTGAGGGGGTGCTGGGGATTTAGCTCAGTGGCAAAAGCGCCTGCCTGGCATGCACAAGGTTGTGAGTTCGGTTCCCGGTACCGGAGAAAAACCAAAACCAAAAAAAAAAAAAGGGACGTGAGGCACAACTCTCTGCCTTTTGTCAGCGACGGAAGCCTAAAACGCTCTTTCTGCATCTGTTGCCCCCAATATATCGTTAGTTTAAATCCTTTTCACTCCAATGCTGGGCTTCTAAATGGGTCCCCCCTTTAGCACTCCCACCCTGGTCTTTGTTGTTTTGTTGTTAATTAACCCTGTGTCGTGTTACAGATGTCTTTTTGCTCTCGGTACACGGCTTATAACTTTGTGTATAGCTTCTTTTGTCACAGAGGGCTCTATACTTGGGACTTGGGGGTTCTTTTCACCAGCCCAGGTTTGCAGTACACACTTACATTCCTCATGGGGAGTTGGAATGTGTTCCTACCACAGCTTAATTCGATTTTCATCCCCTTCCCTCCTCCCTCCCCCCACCTCAGTCCCCTTCCCCTTGGCAAAAGATCTCTCTCCCTACTTCTGATGATCTCGCTTGTATTTTGCTCTTTATCTGTACTTTGAGTTTCTCATGTAGGAGAAATCATGCAATATTTAAGCTTGTGTGTCTGATTTATTTCACTTAACATTATGATCTCAAGGCTCATCCATTTTCCTGCAATTGACTCGTTTATCCTTTTTTTATGATACAGTAGTGCTTCAGTGTGAATAAATACCCATTTTCTTTATCCTTTCCTCTGCTGATGGACATGTATGCCCCTTCGAAGATTTAGCGCTTATGAGTCGTGCTGCTGTAAACATGGGTCTGCACGGCTCACTATAACATGATGTCTTTGCTCTTTCATGCTCTGATTTTTCTGAGCTTGCATGCATCATTGCAAATTCTGTGTTGAGGGTTTCACAGGTTCCAGATACTCTTTCATGCTTGAAC